GTAAGGCATAAAAAGAACATAGTATAGTAAGGCATAAAAAGGACATAGTATAGTAAGGCATGAAAAACGTCATAGTATAGTAAGGCAAAAAAAGGACATAGTATAGTAAGACATGAAAAAGGACATTGTATAGTAAGGCATAAAAACGACAGCATAGTAAAGCATGAAAGTATAGTAAGTCATGAAAAACATCATAGTATAGTAAGGCATAAAAACAAAAAAAGGACATAGTATAGTAAGGCATAAAAACGACAGCATAGTAAAGCATAAAAAGGACATAGTATAGTAAGGCATGAAAAAGGACATAGTACAGTAAGGCAAAAAAAGGACAGTATAGTAAGGCATGAAAAAGGACATAGTATAGTAAGGCATAAAAACGACAGCATAGTAAAGCATAAAAAGGACATAGTATAGTAAGGCATGAAAAACGTCATAGTATAGTAAGGCATAAAAAGGACATAGTATAGTAAGGCATAAAAAGGACATAGTATAGTAAGGCATGAAAAACGTCATAGTATAGTAAGGCATAAATAGGACATAGTATAGTAAGGCATAAAAACGACAGTATGATAAAGCATAAAAAGGACATAGTATAGTAAGGCATAAAAAGGACATAGTATAGTAAGGCATGAAAAATGTCATAGTATAGTAAGGCATAAAAAGGACATAGTATAGTAAGGCATAAAAACGACAGTATGATAAAGCATAAAAAGGACATAGTATAGTAAGGCATAAAAAGGACATAGTATAGTAAGGCATGAAAAATGTCATAGTATAGTAAGGCATAAAAAGGACATAGTATAGTAAGGCATGAAAAACGTCATAGTATAGTAAGGCATAAAAAGGACATAGTATAGTAAGGCATAAAAAGGACATAGTATAGTAAGGCATGAAAAATGTCATAGTATAGTAAGGCATAAAAAGGACATAGTATAGTAAGGCATAAAAAGGACATAGTATAGTAAGGCATGAAAAACGTCATAGTATAGTAAGGCATAAAAAGGACATAGTATAGTAAGGCATAAAAAGGACATAGTATAGTAAGGCATGAAAAATGTCATAGTATAGTAAGGCATAAAAAGGACATAGTATAGTAAGGCATAAAAAGGACATAGTATAGTAAGGCATGAAAAACGTCATAGTATAGTAAGGCATAAAAAGGACATAGTATAGTAAGGCATAAAAAGGACATAGTATAGTAAGGCATGAAAAATGTCATAGTATAGTAAGGCATAAAAAGGACATAGTATAGTAAGGCATAAAAAGGACATAGTATAGTAAGGCATGAAAAACGTCATAGTATAGTAAGGCATAAAAAGGACATAGTATAGTAAGGCATAAAAAGGACATAGTATAGTAAGGCATGAAAAATGTCATAGTATAGTAAGGCATAAAAAGGACATAGTATAGTAAGGCATAAAAAGGACATAGTATAGTAAGGCATGAAAAACGTCATAGTATAGTAAGGCATAAAAAGGACATAGTATAGTAAGGCATAAAAAGGACATAGTATAGTAAGGCATGAAAAATGTCATAGTATAGTAAGGCATAAAAAGGACATAGTATAGTAAGGCATAAAAAGGACATAGTATAGTAAGGCATGAAAAACGTCATAGTATAGTAAGGCATAAAAAGGACATAGTATAGTAAGGCATAAAAAGGACATAGTATAGTAAGGCATGAAAAATGTCATAGTATAGTAAGGCATAAAAAGGACATAGTATAGTAAGGCATAAAAAGGACATAGTATAGTAAGGCATGAAAAACGTCATAGTATAGTAAGGCATAAAAAGGACATAGTATAGTAAGGCATAAAAAGGACATAGTATAGTAAGGCATGAAAAATGTCATAGTATAGTAAGGCATAAAAAGGACATAGTATAGTAAGGCATAAAAAGGACATAGTATAGTAAGGCATGAAAAACGTCATAGTATAGTAAGGCATAAAAAGGACATAGTATAGTAAGGCATAAAAAGGACATAGTATAGTAAGGCATGAAAAACGTCATAGTATAGTAAGGCATAAAAAGGACATAGTATAGTAAGGCATAAAAACGACATTATGGTAAAGCATAAAAAGGACATAGTATAGTAAGGCATGAAAAACGTCATAGTATAGTAAGGCATAAAAAGGACATAGTATAGTAAGGCATAAAAACGACAGTATGGTAAAGCATAAAAAGGACATAGTATAGTAAGGCATGAAAAACGTCATAGTATAGTAAGGCATAAAAAGGACATAGTATAGTAAGGCATAAAAACGACAGTATGGTAAAGCATAAAAAGGACATAGTATAGTAAGGCATAAAAAGGACATAGTATAGTAAGGCATGAAAAATGTCATAGTATAGTAAGGCATAAAAAGGACATAGTATAGTAAGGCATAAAAAGGACATAGTATAGTAAGGCATGAAAAACGTCATAGTATAGTAAGGCATAAAAAGGACATAGTATAGTAAGGCATAAAAAGGACATAGTATAGTAAGGCATGAAAAATGTCATAGTATAGTAAGGCATAAAAAGGACATAGTATAGTAAGGCATAAAAAGGACATAGTATAGTAAGGCATGAAAAACGTCATAGTATAGTAAGGCATAAAAAGGACATAGTATAGTAAGGCATAAAAAGGACATAGTATAGTAAGGCATGAAAAACGTCATAGTATAGTAAGGCATAAAAAGGACATAGTATAGTAAGGCATAAAAAGGACATAGTATAGTAAGGCATGAAAAACGTCATAGTATAGTAAGGCATAAAAAGGACATAGTATAGTAAGGCATAAAAAGGACATAGTATAGTAAGGCATGAAAAATGTCATAGTATAGTAAGGCATAAAAAGGACATAGTATAGTAAGGCATAAAAAGGACATAGTATAGTAAGGCATGAAAAACGTCATAGTATAGTAAGGCATAAAAAGGACATAGTATAGTAAGGCATAAAAAGGACATAGTATAGTAAGGCATGAAAAATGTCATAGTATAGTAAGGCAAAAAAAGGACATAGTATAGTAAGGCATAAAAAGGACATAGTATAGTAAGGCATGAAAAACGTCATAGTATAGTAAGGCATAAAAAGGACATAGTATAGTAAGGCATAAAAAGGACATAGTATAGTAAGGCATGAAAAATGTCATAGTATAGTAAGGCATAAAAAGGACATAGTATAGTAAGGCATAAAAAGGACATAGTATAGTAAGGCATGAAAAACGTCATAGTATAGTAAGGCATAAAAAGGACATAGTATAGTAAGGCATAAAAAGGACATAGTATAGTAAGGCATGAAAAATGTCATAGTATAGTAAGGCATAAAAAGGACATAGTATAGTAAGGCATAAAAAGGACATAGTATAGTAAGGCATGAAAAACGTCATAGTATAGTAAGGCATAAAAAGGACATAGTATAGTAAGGCATAAAAAGGACATAGTATAGTAAGGCATGAAAAACGTCATAGTATAGTAAGGCATAAAAAGGACATAGTATAGTAAGGCATAAAAACGACAGTATGGTAAAGCATAAAAAGGACATAGTATAGTAAGGCATGAAAAACGTCATAGTATAGTAAGGCATAAAAAGGACATAGTATAGTAAGGCATAAAAACGACAGTATGGTAAAGCATAAAAAGGACATAGTATAGTAAGGCATGAAAAACGTCATAGTATAGTAAGGCATAAAAAGGACATAGTATAGTAAGGCATGAAATCGTCATAGTATAGTAAGACATAAAAAGGACATAGTATAGTAAGGCATGAAAAATGTCATAGTATAGTAAGGCATAAAAAGGACATAGTATAGTAAGACATAAAAAGGACATAGTATAGTAAGGCATGAAAAACGTCATAGTATAGTAAGGCATAAAAAGGACATAGTATAGTAAGGCATAAAAAGGACATAGTATAGTAAGGCATGAAAAACGTCATAGTATAGTAAGGCATAAAAACGACATAGTATAGTAAGGCATAAAAAGGACATAGTATAGTAAGGCATAAAAAGGACATAGTATAGTAAGGCATAAAAAGGACATAGTATAGTAAGGCATAAAAAGGACATAGTATAGTAAGGCATAAAAAGGACATAGTATAGTAAGGCATAAAAAGGACATAGTATAGTAAGGCATAAAAAGGACATAGTATAGTAAGGCATAAAAAGGACATAGTATAGTAAGGCATAAAAAGGACATAGTATAGTAAGGCATAAAAAGAACATAGTATAGTAAGGCATAAAAAGGACATAGTATAGTAAGGCATGAAAAACGTCATAGTATAGTAAGGCAAAAAAAGGACATAGTATAGTAAGGCATGAAAAACGTCATAGTATAGTAAGGCATAAAAAGGACATAGCATGGTAAGGCATAAAAACGACAGTATGGTAAAGCATAAAAAGGACATAGTATAGTAAGGTATGAAAAACGTCATAGTATAGTAAGGCAAAAAAAGGACATAGTATAGTAAGGCATGAAAAACGTTATAGTATAGTAAGGCATAAAAAGGACAGTATAGTAAAGAATAAAAAGGACATAGTATAGTAAGGCATAAAAAGGACATAGTATAGTAAGGCATAAAAAGGACTTAGTATAGTAAGGCATAAAAAGGACATAGAATAGTAAAGCATAAAAAGGACATAGTATAGTAAGGTATAAAAAATGTTGTATAATAGTAAAACAAAGAATATGTTAGTATAGTAAGGCAAAAAAAAAAGTCATAGTATAGTAAGTCATAAAAATGTCATAGTATAGTAAGCATAAAAAAGTTATAGTATAATAAGGATTAAAAAAACGTCATAGTATACTAAGGCATAAAAAATGACATAGTATAGTAAGTCATAAAAACAACATAATATGGTAAGGCATAAAAACGTCATATGATATAAAGGCTTTAAAAACTGCTGCACTATTGTCCACGATTTTGTTTTCATTGTTAACTTTGAAAATATACATCTTTGCAACAAGGCAATTTTCTTCTATAACAACTCTCCATGATGTTTTTGTCTTTGTGTCCACAGGCAGAACGTGATTCGGCCCATGGGCGTCAGGCCAGATGGAACGTTAGCACCTCTTGAGGAAACTCTCTGTGATCCACCTGGGGACAACTCAGGATCAGACTCTGACTAGTGCTCTGCACATCGAGGTCACATTTTCCAGACTAAGCCCACCAGGCCCCAACTCACCTAAAGCTGTGTCCCATTTCAAGGGCTGGATCCTTTTTGAAGGTGGGTCCTTCAGATGAGGTAAAAACTGAAGAGAAAGTCTAAAAAGTCTATGGTCACAGAAATGAGACACAGAGAGTAGAGCTGTCTCCAAAACAGTTTACAGGTGCTGGATCAGAAAAAAATTAACTTGAAAGTAGCAGTCAGACAAAACATCCATATGCTGTACTGATATCTCCCTGTTAATTAGTCTAATTAAATTAATTGTCAGCATGAGTAGTTTGGATGTTTTGTCTGACTTTTGCTCCCACAGAAACCCAAACTAGAGGATTTGGGCTCCTCTTCAACTTTTTAAGTCCAGTTTATCACTTGGAAGTTACCTTAAATTGGCTGACCAGAGTTAACATTACAAATTCTAATGCTAATGGTAAATATATCCTTATAACTACTACTTGTCTGTAAGTTTAAGGCTGACATCTGTTATTTGCACCTTGCTGTTTAAATGATTTGTGTGCTTCGATCTAATTCAACACATTTACCAATGACTGTTGACCACTCAAATGTAAATACACTGTCAGGTAAACATGACATGGTCAAGTCATATTTTGCAATTCTTTTCAAGATGACACGGTTTAACTTATCACATCATCAAACAATTGACTGACATGCAGTGGATTGTGGGATACTGAGGGCTGCAAAGACTACACTCCAGACAAGCACATCTTTCTCTCAGCCTCATTCAGAGTATCCTTTGAAATGGTATAGGTCTTGTCGGGCCGTTATGACGTATTCAGTCTAGAAATGCGACTCCTGATTTTCCAGCCCTGAAGTGAGACACAGCTCAATGTTTCACAGGAGACTGTAGGGGCCCTGTTGCTGCCGTAAGCCATTCTCCTCAATGGAAGTGGACTTGATGCACAATGCGTATAATGCATAGGAGGCCTCTGTGTTTATTGTTGCACCTTCATTTATTTTACTGCTCCTAGAGTTGAGAGGATAGAGGTAACCTAATTTTTGCTGGATCATGTGTTTCTCATGGAAAACACGGTTGTCATGGTTTGTTAAAAGTGAAATTGGTTCTAAATTATCATTCCTTCTCCTGTGCTTTTGTTTTTCACTTTTTTTAAGTTTCTCTTAATTTCTTTCTGCTACGTTTTGTCCATTGTTTGTATCTCTAGATAATTCAAGTGCATTATACACACACACTTGTAAACATGAAATCACAGTAAAAACTGTTAACAGTGAAGTTTCTCCTTGATTTAAATCATGGCAGCCAGTCCAGACTGGACCACAGGATTGATGTGTATTTAGAAATCAGACAATGCCAGTGTGAATAGTTTGAACTTGCAGCTCACACTGAGTCTATATTTGGTTGTGTAATTATCATTAATGTTGCACATCAGTTAGTTGCCAAGGAAACTTTCTGAATTCAGGGGTTTTTGGCTTACTGTCATGTCACTGAAAGGTGTTTTGGACAAAAGAATTTCCTCTTTTCATTTAAAATTTAGACTTTAAATGGAGAGATGCTACATTTTCCTGTGTTGGACAATAGTAAACAGATTGTTTTCTGCCTGTTGTGGACTCTTGACAAAGAAATGTGTAAACTGAAATGATTGTTTTCTAATCTACATTACTCTTGCCAAATCTGCATGATGTTAAATCAGTTCTCGGTAATGTGATTTGTTTTGTAGATTGAAGGTTTTGCTAATTTTATATAAATCCACAAGTTTAGTCTATGTATAAACTGAATAATATTTCTTTGTGTTGGTACAATTTTGGATTCAATGTAAAAGCTGCCAGCTCTGAAGTCAACTGCATGATAGGATATAAATTCACAACAGATTTGGCCGCCTAACTAAAATCCTAATTTGGATTACTGATACTTTTGTTGTAAGTGAAAAGGTGTTTTAATTGCTGATTACAATCCAGAGAACATGTGTCATTATTGCAGGATTTGGTGACAGCTCAGTTTAATAATGAATAATCATGAGCATACTTTTCACCTGACCTGTGAATCACCACTACTGCCTCCTCACACAAAGAATAATGCAGATAATTTGGATGACAAATTTAAGGGAAAATCAACATTAAGTGTCTTAGTAATCATGTGCCACCAGAACAGCTTCAATGCACCTTGTCCTAGATCAGCAGTCTGGGGCTGCAAAGGCCATAGCATAAGAGTCACAAAATGTCTATACTTATCAAACCAGGCAGTGGCCATTTGGTTGGTGTCTCCACTCACTTCAGGTTTTTCCCTTCAATTTGACATTCATCTGTGGATCAGTTTTTTCTCTTACACTCCCATGTAAATGCCTTTTTGTTCCTCCACAAACACTGAGGATAAATGAAAATTGCATGTTGATCACATTCTCTCCATTTAGACATACTATTATGGGAATCATTTTGTTCTTTTTGCACATTCTACTGTAAATAGCACCACTCTTACTTTATGTAGTGAGGCGTCCACTGAAAAGTTAATAAACTGGAGAATAAGAAAATTTTGTCTTTTTTGAACCCATACAACAAACCACAGAAAAGATGAAAATTACACATTACTTTTATTAAATATTGTTTAAAATACAGTGTTGTGCTGGTATAAAACATTAACAAGTCATTGCTATTGTATGAGACCACTTGCAGAAACATTAAAATTTTTGTTACAGAGTTCAGACATTTACTAGTGTTCTGGAAGGACCCAACTCCATAATAAGTGCTTTAAATATGGTTGCTGAAGTTGATAAACCTTTTGATTTGTACATATGAACATAGCATGAACATCAGAGTCCCAGATGAAGAGGTAAGATTATTCAAAAATCCTGGTTAGAAATCAAATGCGTGAACAGTTAACAGAAGAACAGTCCTTAGTGTGAGCTAAGGAGAGAGGAGACTCTCAAACCTTTCCAGTGTCATCTTTTATGAAACGCGTAGCATCAGTTGCTCAGGTTGGACGATGCAGAGCTCTTGCTGTCTGTCTCTGAGTCCGTCTCCTCGCTGCCACTGCTTGCTGCTCTCTGACCTCCTGGTTTGGATCTGGATGTCTCCATCCTGCCTGGAGGCTCTGACATACCTCTGCCCTGGAAAGGCGTCTGTCCACTCACTGATGGGGCGCTGTTTATCAGCGTTGGGATGCTCTGCCGAGAGGGAAATTATTTCTACAGTCAGCACAAGTGTTTTAAAAACAGATGGTTAAGTCCTATAAGTACCTGGCACTGGCTTGGGTTCGATTACCAGAGATTTTTCTGCTCTCCGATTCCCATAATCCCTTTAAATAAAAATGTGCCATTTGTTTAATAAATTACCTAAACAGAGATTTAATTAACCTGCAGGAGCTTTTTTTTTCTTTTTTTTTTTAAAAAAGGCCTATCTTAAGATGGAACTCACTGTTGTTTCTTGACTTCTCATCAGCTCTGTGATCTCGTCATTCCAGCCGAGCATTTCAGCAAATCTCCGGACTGTATCCTCCAGGTCACCCAGCTCCATGTGGTCTCCTCTCCGCAGTGGGACCTTCTCAAAGGGACCCACAGCATGTCGGTTTAGGAGGAGACGTGGCACAGTAGAGCGCACCGTATTCACCAGGCTGGCAAATGGCTCAATCTGAAACAATGAATTTTTGTTCAGATGTAACAGAGCTCAACATTTACATTTAATAATGAGGACAGATAGTAAAAATGCTGATGTTTACCTGTAAAGATGTTCCCATAATGATTAGCAGGTCTGCTTTGGGGAAGTCTTTTGTGTGGAGGAAATACTTCTGCGGAAGGTCCTCTCCAAAAAACACAACATCAGGTTTGACTGTAGCAGCACAGAATGTGCATATGGGAACGTTGCCATTCATTATAGCATGCTGTGAAGCAAAAGGAGGAAATATTACACTGGCATCAAATGCAGGGAATTACTGTAATATGTTTGACTGGTTTTGGACCACACAGCCAGACATACCTTAGCCTCCTCAGCAGGATACGGAGTGTAACACAAGTGACAGGAAGCTGTGGCAAAACTACCATGAGCTTCCACAAGTTTGTCATCTGGGATGCCACATACTGTGAAGAATATTAAATATTGTAACAGACATTCAAGAACTGGCAGTATACATTTGGATTATATGTTATTGAGTATGTTAGTGCTTCATGTGCTGTTTTTCGGTTTCCTTTAAGTTGTCACTCACATTTCTCCAGTCCGTCAATGTTCTGTGTGTACATTCGGAGCAGCAGGCCTTTGTGATGAAGCATGCGGATGAAGTAATGTATGTAGTTGGGTCGGTGGCTGCCAGGATACAGAGCTTTGGCCAGTGAGAAGAAAGGCTGTGGGTCGTTGGAGAAGTAGTCAATGTTGAAAATGGCTTCTGGGTAAGGAATGTTGTACTTCTCCAAGTTGGCATAAAGACCTGTGCCTGGAGTTCTGGGGAAAAAAAAAAAAAAAAAAAAAGTGGAAGTACAGACAATTTTAGATGTTCATTTTGAGCATGATGCCTTACACTCAGGGTGAAGAATGAGGTACGATGGAAATGTTAGCAGAGAGAAATATAACGATGAGGCTTTAGAGAGAACAAAGCCAAAGACAACAACCTGAAGTCTGGGATGCCGCTGGCTGTGCTGATTCCTGCTCCGGCCACCACAACCACATTCTTACAGCGTCCGAGCTTCACCAGCCGAGCCACAGAGGCAAGACTGCCCCGGGACGGTAACTTGGCAGCAGACACAGACGGGCTGCTTTGAGCAGATCTGGACCCAGAGGACTCACCATCCTGCACAGGGTTACTGCTACATTTGGACGTCTTTCCTTTACTGGAGAACAGAACGAGAAAAGACACATCTCTCAGATATTTTACTACTTTTCTTCTTTGAATAACCTGATCCTGTATGGAATTATAACCAACACTTCACAACACAAACATATTTAATTTCATATAAAATTGTCAATGTGTCCAATCTAAATATCCATACAACACGAGATGTGGGAGGGCACCTGAATGACTTCAGCTTCTATAAGTGTCTGTAATAGGACTAGGGCTGTGCAACTCAAGATACTTTAGTATGACTTTGTGTAGTAAGTTTAAGGCAGACTCTGGATTTGAAACAAGAGACCAGTGGTCTGTACTATGAAGCAGGATTAGAGGTTATTGAGGTAACTTCAGGTTTAACTCTGGGTTTTTAGTCCTATGACGGTGGTTCACTTGTTACCGAGGAAAATCACCATGGTAACTGATGCTGAACTCCTAACCTGCTCCGGCTCAGGTTAACTTAGAGGATCAGATCAAAACCTGCCAACAGCCAAACTACTGGCCAATCAAATCACTGGAAAAACAGAGTCATCATTCCTACAGGATCATGACAGGGACAAAAGAGTTTACAAAAAAGTGATCAATAAAAACGAGCAGTAGATATAAAATATATTGAAAAAAAAAAAAAAAAAATCAGGGGAATTGTTTTCCATGTGTCCACTTTGGTTTAAAAACAAAGCTTCTAAAAAAAAATGCACAGAGAGTTTATCACGCTAAATAAATAGCCTATATAATAACTATTATAGTTTCATTTTAATTGAACAAATATTCTTTAATCCGGCGTGTCAATGCTTTTACTCTCTTCTTCATCATTGCAGCTCAGAATAACATGATCAGACTCTGGAAATAAAAACTAGACATCTGATGTCTGATTAGGTTGGACTGACTCATCAGACATCAACTACTTCTCTCCTCTCTGCAGCAGAAACGGTCTGATATTAACTTTAACTGTTTTATCTGCATCACATGTTCATAACAGTTTGTTCATCATCAAACTGAAGTGCAAAAATACTCAAACGTAGTGATAATTCGTGCACTTATTTACAATATATCTTTAGTCTGACTTTAATAGAAATTATATTTAGACATGGAGATAATATTTTTTTATTCCAGTCATGTGATCATATTGTTTACATTTCACTTTGTTGAATGTCACTTTTGGACGTCGCTATAAACTAACTTACCAGCAAGTATCAACCTTTCTTATAATATTAGGTACCTCATTCATGGCTCTGACGATGTTGCTTACAATTAACAACTCCACCTCTTTCGCATGAAGGCGCTCCTAACCGGACAGGTAAACCCAGGGTTAACTGAGTCAGTTGATAACCTGCTTCATAGTACAGGTTATCAGGACGGTCAATGTTAGGTTCAGTCAAGCCAGATAACTAAAAGTTATCATGGGTATGTTGAACTTGCTTCATAGTACAGGCCTCAGGCCTAGCTAGCTTGCACAGACTTATACACATATTTATCTCAACTATCACACATTCAAACTAGAATTACCACCTATGGTTGTATGCCCCTGCCAACCAACCAAATTGCAGGAAATATGGTCACAATCTCCCCTTCCTGAGCTACAGCATGAGTGTTTTTGCACATTATGATTTCACAGTGAAGTTGACCTTTGACCAGTTGGATATAAAATCATCACTTCATCATTTTATCCAATTAGACATTTGAGTTAAATTGTGTCATAATTAGCGTATGAATTTGAGAGTTATGGCCAAAAACATGTTTTATGAGGTCACGATGACCTTAAACTTTGACCTACAAAATCTAATCAGTTCATCCTTCAGTCCAAGTGAATGTTTGTGCCAGATGTAATGAAATGCTCTCTGTGCATTCTTGATATATCACATTCACAAGAACGTGAGATCACAGTGACCTTGAACTTTGTCCACAAAAATCTATTCAGTTGATCTTTGAGTCCAAGTGAATGTTCTGAATTTGAAGAAATTCCCTCAAGCTGTTACTGAGATATCTCATTCACGAGAATGGGACTAACAGACGGACAAACCAAAAACATACTGCCTCCTGCCCTGGCTGTCGCTTGAGTGAAGACATAAAAATATGGTTTATTTTAAAAAGCTGGGTCCACTTCTTAAACTATATTGGACACTAGAAATTTCATTCGATGTGTTTTCCTTTATTATATTCCTTCTTCTATGATCTTGACAACACAGTGTTTTTTGTCATATTTGATGGCAGAGAGTTATAATGTTCCCTTCCCTTTCCTTTGTAATATTTCTACAGTATAAAGTCACTGTTACATGTCCTCACCTAGAGCATAAAATGTCCTGTCCGCTCACACTCATCTGGCTGAGGTCCTGGGCCAAAGCCGAGTCTGGCTGCTTCTTTCGTTGCTTTCCATACGGGGCCAGCCCAGAGTCCTGAGACTCTGTGGGGTGTCTGACCTGGGAGCTGGAGCTGCGGGTTATCCTGGTTCTGGACCTGTTCATTCCAGCACCTGTTGACAGCAAGAAAAAAACACTAAATCATTCAGCATAAATGAAACATCAAACAATGTTTATGAACTTTAATGTTTCTTTTTTCCTGTGCCATCAGCTTGAGGTGAGATTTGTCCAAATTACATTTGAATGTCAGACATGAAAACAACATTTTATTGGTTTGATTGTAGGTCATTTGAAAAATGAGCTTGATTGCTTGATCATTTTCTTTTTAATTCACTTTCTTTTTGTTTTGATTTTTTAATGC